AAGAATTAAAGATCACTTCACATGGGAATCTGTTAAGAACTCATAGAAGAAATGTCACGTCAACCTTGAAGGATGGCTAGAATGAAGTTAGGCAGAGATTGAGAGAGGATATAGCAGTTAGGTATAATAGGACATGATCAGAACATCTGGCAGTGAAGAGGGAACGTGCAGAGGACTCTACATAACAGAACAGGCCTCTTGAACCAAGACAGGTATTTATTACAAAAGTCAAAGATTACTCAAAGGTGTTGGATCTTGGAGACTAAATGAATATAGCAAACTTCAACTTTTCAGTATGGCATTGGAAGTCGTTTACCAGCTTCCTTCCTCTTCCCAACACAGAGGTTCCACTTGTTTTTGTTTGCCTTCTTCCCCACCACACACCCTCTCTGCCCCTCTACCAAGAAATTGAGCCACTCCATAAGACTGAAGCATTCGAGTTCCCATACTTGCACTTTTGCCTTTATGATGCCCAATCCCTCCTGTCAGTGCACCTATATCTTAAGTCCAGAAAGTCCTTCCTTCATAAGCTTTACTTCCATCAGTGAAGTCTTTAAGCATGGTCTCATTTGATTCCTCAGTTCTTCTCATTTGTATGTTCTAGAGACATTTACTCTAAAGCATGGTGCAATATACAAATATTACTGGCAAAGTCCCTCAGCATCTGCTTCTCCTTCCTACCTAAAGTTCCTGGAGAAAGTGCAGACTCAATTGGGAGCCACCAGCCACATGTGGTTGTGAGTACTTAAAATATGGCTGGCCCAAAGTCAGATAACTTAAAATAATCCACACCAGATTTCAAAAAACATTAAATACCTCATTATTATTTTTTAATTGATTACATTTTGAAATGGTAATTTTTTAAAATATTTTTATTTATTTATTTATTCATTTATGAGAGACACACAAAGAGAGAGGCAGAGACACAGGCATGGAGACACAAGCAGGCTCCATGCAGGGAGCCCGACGTGGGACTCGATCCCGGTCTCCAGGATCACGCCCTGGGCTGAAGGCGGCGCTAAACCGCTGAGCCACCCGGGCTGCTGAAATGGTAATATTTTAGCTATATTGGGCAAAATAAAAAAAAAAATCTATAATTGAAAGGAAAAAAAAAGTTCCTGGAGGAAAGCACTGAGTCACTGCATTTCTTGGGTTTATCCCATACTCACATCATGCACTGAACATGATAGGTACCTCCTCAATGCTATCTGTACTATCACCTAGTTTTAAGAGGAAGACAAAATTTGATAAGAAAAAAATTACCTCCCTCCTTAATTTGTTTTTCCTAAGTAGAACTCCTGAGAGAAGCCTCAGGGCCCTCATCTTTGGCCCCACATGCATCTTCAGAGGCATTCTGGAACGTGCCAGCTGTACACTGTATACCCACAGAAACAACACAGTTAATTCTCCCCTTCTGAAATTGTGACTCCCACCCTTCTCCCCTTCATCTAAATGTTTCCTTTTAAAGAAAGCCATGGTTCACTGCTACTGAAAATTAAAGACAACAGCATAAAGATCAAGGTCCAAGCTGGTGCAGCCCATGACAGAACATTAAAATCACCACTGAAATTTCTTTCCTTGAATACCACCAAAGACTACTAATGGAAAGCCAATCCCCAGAACACCAGCTCATCTCGGATGTTCTTCACTTGCACTTCTTGGTTCACAAACTAGTTCACAAGTATACACAACAGCCATATTGCAACCTGAATCAGATGCTCTCACAAGACAGGTAAAGGGATATAAAAGATCAAACATGAGAAAAGAGAGAAAACTTTATGTGAGTTCTTTTCATTTCTACTTTTTAGTATGTTGGACCCTGAGAAGCATGAAATTAAAACTCGTGAAAAACAGCCTATCTCAACTTGCTGTGGTGACTCAAAAGTTGTCGTTTCTCAACTCAACTTTGCTGAAACACTTGATTCATGTTGTTCTTATTTAACCTAATTTGCATTGATTTAATCAGTGCTGGTATGCTTTAAATACATAATAAATTGGGATTCTGCAACTTAGATGACTTAGAATAGCTAAATTTCAATAAAGCTCATTTCAATCTGTTAATGTATACAGTTCTGCCAAGGGGTTTAAAAGCGTAGAAAAGATGCAAACTTGCCACATTAGAGGTGGGAAAGGTTTAAAGATACCATCCAGATGAAATGATTTGCAGGATAATAATGTGAAAAGCAATATATATATATATATATATATATATATATATATATATATATATATATCTTAATTACAACCTAGACACATCTTCTACATTTTGAGTAGCATACTTAGAAGAAAACTCACATATAAATGCAGTGAATTTAATTTTATTCTCTTTCCTCCTTGCCAACACTCAACTCTTTTCTGCCTCTCTGTACCAGCTCTACAAATCAAGTGACATCCAAAGTGGGACCTCTTCTTGCCCATTTGGCAGGCTTCATCACCACTTTGCCAAGCCGCCTGCATTAGGAGGATTTTCTTCCTAGCAGCCATGGGGATTGGGTGGCTTATACTCACAGTGCTTGCTGAATGGTTGGCCAATGTTTACTCCTGCCTGCCCCCGCCTCCCCCACCACCCTTTAGAGTTTATGGCTCAATCAGCCAGCCTGCTGTCAGGAATAATTGTGTTGGCAAGAGGTGAAAACACTTGATGGTGAAATTGTTTGTCTGTTAAAGTGTTCTGCAGCACCTTGCAGGTGCCAGGATGAAAACTGCAGGTGCCCAGTCCAGAGTCAGGTAGGAGTCTAGAGTGAGAAAGAGGCAACCATCCAGAATGGCAAGGGAAGAACACTGCTTTGGTGTGGGACTGAAAAAAAAAAAATCTGTGGGTAATGAGCTGTGAGACCCTGGGTAAAGGCCTGATGTCTCTGTGCCTCAGTTTCATCATATGCAAAATTAAGGGGCTTGATTGTCTAATGTCTCTTCTAGCCCCTAATATGACATGTGCTGTCTAGAACATCTCAGATTTGTTTTCCTTCCAATTAAATAATACATCTCGGAGATAAATAACCAGAGGAGAGCTTGGATGAATATAAAATGTAATGATACATGCCCCTGTTCATATGACTTTTCCTGAAAAGTGCCACCAGTGTTTGGTGACTTTGATTCCACTGGCTCATGCCTTCAGCTTGGATGCTAAGGACCAACCCAGTTACTTGTCCAAAGTCAATCCAGCTTGAGAGCTTTGGTAATCTACCGCATTCTTAACAAAGCGAGAACCACTGTAGATAACGCCCACTTACTTTCAATTCTGAGAGACAGAAATGTTGAGAATTAAGAGAGGAGCTAGAGATTCACATCTGATTCCTCCTATCACCTCCTTGGGCATCTCTGTCAAGAAGCAAGGCTTGCCCACACTCACTTCCAGAAGGATTTCCTTCTGCCATCTCTGAGGACCTTTTTTTTTCTTTTTTCTTTCTTTCTTTCTTTCTTTCTTTCTTTCTTTCTTTCTTTCTTTCTTTCTTTTTTTCTTTTTTCTTTTTTTTTTTAACAAATGACCAACAGGTTCCAATAGCCAAACAGACCCTCTCCAAGCTGGTTGGGTGGAACAAGAGAGAGAGAGAGAGAGAGCTCATTATCAGAACCCCATCTATAGATGATTGTGAATGGAGATAATCAGGCAAAGACTTCTCTTCATACTTAGAAGACACAATTTAGTAACAGTCTCAAAGTTTAATTAGGGTTAGGTGTATGAAGGGGGGTAGGCTTCATTACAGTTTAACCCCTTCTCTGCTTATTCTCTTGCATATTGTCCTAGAGCGTAGTGCAGGGTGCTGTAATCACCATGTGCAGTATGTTGGGGTCAGCCCCTCCTGGGTGTCATACAGCAGAATCTTTCTTTAATCCACCTGGGACCCTTAAAGACATCTAGTGGGAATGGTCAAGTCCCGGCAGGATCTCAGGCAAGACTCCCTGTACACAGGCATACGTTTCTGCCACACCGGGTCTCATGCCACCAAATCGGGATCGCTTTCCCAACCCACTGGGTTGAGAAACCATCTCCCCATCTACCACTAAAAAGTGCTGGCTGACTGCAGGACTCCAGTGGCTGTGAGGAAAAGGGGGGAAAAAATCTTCGGCAAGCCCCCACAATCATTGCTTTACTCTATCTTCTCTCAAGTTGCTTTTCTAAAGCAAAGGACCAAATGTTGATTTCTCTACAGATTCCTACGTGTCTCTTACACGTAGACAGCTTTAGAGGGGGAAGGGGGAACGTCCCCAAAAGGAAAGGGAGGGGGGGGGAAGAGAACAGAATCTTTCAGTTTCCTGCTTGGAAATATCTTGTCGTTGATGATGCTAGCCTACATCTCCATCCCCTTCCCCCCCCCCCCCCGCCGCCCTCCTTTTTTTTTTTTTTTTTTTTTTTTTGAAATATGGACAAAAAAGCTGAAAGCGTTTTCCGTTTCATCAAAGAACATATATTACTTTAGTGGCTCGGTAAAATGTTGGTTTTATGCCCACCCCTTTTCAATCTGCCCATGTCTGAGGTGCTCCGGGAAGACGCACAATCGTGAGCAGCTTACGACACTCAGTGAGCAGTAGGTGCCTGTGCAAGCTCGCGCCGCACACAGCCTGGCGGAGGGAAGGAGCCCGGGCGTCGCTCCCCGCTCCCGGCTCCCGGCTCCCGGCTCCCGGCTCCCGGCTCCCCGCTCCCCGCGCCGCCGCCCGCGCCGCCCGCAGCCCGCACCTCCCCGCCGCCCGCAAAGCATGAGCGAGCCCGCTCCCCGCAGCCGCCCCGGGCGCGAATGGCAGGCGGTCTCCGCGGAGTAAAAGGTGGCGCCGGTCAGTGGTCCTTTCCAATGACGGACATTAACCAGACTGTCAGATCCAGGGGAGTCGTGAGCCCCGACTTTGGAGGTTTTTTTTTTTTTTTTTTTGGTTCCCCCCCCCCCCCCGCAACGTCACAGTCCGAACTGCAGAGGGAAAGGACAGCGGCAGGAAGGCGAAGCCCGGCGCCGGCACGTAGTTGGGAAACTTGCTGGTCCTAGAAGTCGCCTCCCCGCCTCGCCAGCCGCCCTTGCAGCCCAGAGCCGAGCAGCAAAGTGAGACATTGTGCGCCTGCCAGATCCGCCGGCCGCGGACCGGGGCTGCCTCGGAAACACAGAGGGGTCTTCTCTCGCCCTGCATATAATTAGCCTGCACACAAAGGGAGCAGCTGAATGGAGGTTGTCACTCTCTGGAAAAGGGTGGGTAAGACACTTTTTAATTAAATTCTTTCCCGAAGATTTTTTTTTTTCCTCCCTTTTCTTTGCTGCAGCATCTAACATGGACCAAATCACCATCTCTTTGATCTTTCCGTGGCTGTGAACTTTCTATGCTGCCCAGCTTTCTGCATGCTTAGAGGTGAACGTGTGGCTCTGGGGAGGGGGGGGTCCTTCTTTATTTCAATATATTTATTTGATTTCGCCCTTTTCTCCCCCCCTCCCCCGCTCCCCTCCCTTGGAATAAAATATGATGTAGATTTCTGACCGAGCGCTTCCAATGGACATTCTCCAGCCTCTCTGGAAAGATTCTCGCTAATGGATTTCCTGCTGCTCGGTCTCTGTCTATACTGGCTGCTGAGGAGGCCCTCGGGGGTGGTCTTGTGTCTGCTGGGGGCCTGCTTTCAGATGCTGCCCGCCGCCCCCAGCGGGTGCCCGCAGCTGTGCCGGTGCGAGGGGCGGCTGCTGTACTGCGAGGCGCTCAACCTCACCGAGGCGCCCCACAACCTGTCCGGCCTGCTGGGCTTGTCCCTGCGCTACAACAGCCTCTCGGAGCTGCGCGCCGGCCAGTTCACGGGGTTAATGCAGCTCACGTGGCTCTATCTGGATCACAATCACATCTGCTCGGTGCAGGGGGACGCCTTTCAGAAACTGCGCCGAGTTAAGGAACTCACACTGAGTTCCAACCAGATCACCCAACTGGCCAACACCACCTTCCGACCCATGCCCAACCTGCGCAGCGTGGACCTCTCGTACAACAAGCTGCAGGCGCTGGCGCCCGACCTCTTCCACGGGCTGCGGAAGCTCACCACGCTGCACATGCGGTCCAACGCTATCCAGTTCGTGCCGGTGCGCATCTTCCAGGACTGCCGCAGCCTCAAGTTTCTTGACATCGGATACAATCAGCTCAAGAGTCTGGCGCGCAACTCTTTCGCCGGCTTGTTCAAGCTCACCGAGCTGCACCTGGAGCACAACGACTTGGTCAAGGTGAACTTCGCCCACTTCCCGCGCCTCATCTCCCTGCACTCCCTCTGCCTGAAGAGGAACAAGGTGGCCATCGTGGTTAGCTCGCTGGACTGGGTTTGGAACCTGGAGAAAATGGACCTGTCGGGCAACGAGATCGAGTACATGGAGCCCCATGTGTTCGAGACCGTGCCGCACCTGCAGTCCCTGCAGCTGGACTCCAACCGCCTCACCTACATCGAGCCCCGGATCCTCAACTCCTGGAAATCGCTGACGAGCATCACCCTGGCCGGGAACCTATGGGACTGTGGGCGCAACGTGTGCGCCCTGGCCTCCTGGCTCAGCAGCTTCCAGGGGCGCTACGATGGCAACTTGCAGTGCGCCAGCCCGGAGTACGCGCAGGGCGAGGACGTCCTAGACGCCGTCTACGCCTTCCACCTGTGCGAGGATGGGGCCGAGCCCACCAGCGGCCACCTGCTCTCAGCAGTCACCAACCACAGTGACCTGGGGCTCCCGGCCAGCCTGGCCACCACGCTCGCTGACGGCAGGGAGGGGCAGCTCGACGGCACGCACGAGCCGGCCACTGTTGCTCTCCCCGGCGGCGAGCACGCCGAGAACGCCGTGCAGATCCACAAGGTGGTCACAGGCACCATGGCCCTCATCTTCTCGTTCCTCATCGTGGTCCTGGTGCTCTATGTCTCCTGGAAGTGCTTCCCAGCCAGCCTCAGGCAGCTCAGACAGTGCTTTGTCACGCAGCGCAGGAAGCAAAAGCAGAAACAGACCATGCATCAGATGGCTGCCATGTCTGCCCAGGAATACTACGTTGATTACAAACCGAACCACATTGAGGGAGCCCTGGTGATCATCAACGAGTATGGATCCTGTACCTGCCACCAGCAGCCCGCAAGGGAATGCGAGGTGTGATGGTCCCAACGGCTCTCAACCCGTGCGCTACCAAATACGCCTGGGCAGCTGGGGCGGCCGGCCAGCGCCAGGCTGGGGTCTCCCTGTCTGTGCTCTGATATGCTCCTTGACTGAAACTGTAAGGGGTTATCTCCCAGAGACTTGACATTTTAGCTTTATTGTGTCTTAAAAACAAAAACGAAATAAAACACAACAAAAACCCCGCCCCACAACCTTCAGGACAGTCTATCTTAAATTTCATATGAGAACTCCTTCCTTCCTTTGAAGATCTGTCCATATTCAGGAATCTGAGAGTGTAAAAAGGTACCAATCATTGATTTTTTTTTTTGTAAACTAAAATGTTTAAAATAAAATAGCATTTACAGTTTTTACAGACTGGCGTAACCTAAATGAATTGCTACCTGTGTGAAAAGAGAAGCAACAGTTAAAATGTCCTTCCCTGTGTGTGTGTGTGTATTGAGGGGTGGGGGTGGGGGGAGCGGCAGGGAGGGTGCAGTGGCCAGGGAAAATCCAGAAATTCAGGGGCAGGAGCAGAGTAGTCAGGCTCAATTTGAAATATTAAGAAGGACAAATAAAGCTCATCAGGTTGATTTATCCCCCACATGACTAAAGATGGGGGGGGCATGACCTTTCATATTATTTTCGGGGGGAGTGGAGTACAATCACTTTAACGCAAGTGAAAGGGGGACTGAGGACTGAGCATCGCTGCCTAGCCTTTAAGGCAGAGATCATTACAAATAGCTTTTGAAAGGCAGTGTCAGACAATTTGTCCTATGAACAAGAAACATTTTTGTACTTAATACAACCATCTTTCAAATCAATTCAAAATCTCACTCCCAAATGCCAATGGCTCATAATTCTCCTATGCCTTTGATTCACCAGAGTTGGTAGCATTTGTGCCCTTTTCCGTACTCTCCCAAGTGAGAGACCCTCAGCTCCTGTTCACCAAGATCTGTCTGAGGCAAAGAAGGGGAATAAGGCAGACTCCAAACGTTGGCAGATGAAAGCTGTGCTTTCTGGAGCACATTGCAAAGACTGCAGCATGGTTAGGCTCTCAGCAGTGATAGCACACTCCTAGTTACTATGGGGAACAGTGAGAAAAATCCTGCTTCAGGTTGAATGCCTACTGGGTGATGACTCACAGCAGGAGACTTTAGGGGTAGACTTGGTACGGAAACGATGGGTGGGATAGGGGAAGATCACCATTTGATCTTGTGTTCAAGTATTACTGAGATGGGAGTGATTTGTTAGCCTGGAACAGAAGAGCTGCCTCTTTTCAGACTGCCCTTTTGTATAAGGCCTGCTTTCCCTGTGTTGTTTTACCTTTTTCTGTGTTGGGATCAATGATTCCTTCTTCCAACCCTTCACAGGTTTCCAGGTCTATCATTGAGATTTAGGTTGTTTACTGAACTAAATTCAAGAGTAGTAGCAGTTGGTGGGTGCGGGGAAGGGAAAGAGGGGGGAGTACTGTGTGTTGGATGGGAGGGGTCTTTCACTTGCTGACACTTTAAGCAAATGTATGATGGAAATAAATGAAGATGGAGAGCAGATGGTGAATACTGAACGAATACCCATGCCCAGAGTCTTTTTCAAACTCAGGTGCTCACCTCTCTGCAAGATCCTACAGCCTGGCCTCTTTCATTTTTTTTTTCTCTCTTCTTTTCTTTTCTTTTCTTTTTTTTTTTTTTTAAAGAAGGATATCCAAATAGTAAGGAGAGGGAAGGGGAAAACACACTCAACCACCATCACCCAAATGCAAATGCCTCTAGCCACCTACCTGAAGAGGCAAAATCAGCTGTCTGAAATGCAGAAAGTCATCACCAGGAGGTTTACTTAAACTGAGGATTGGTGGTAGATTTCTCTACTACCTATGGAGAAGTCCATTTACCTAATAATACTACACATAAGGGGCCCTTTCAAGAGAAATATTCTGCAAAAGTCTCTAAGGTCTTAAACCTTGGGAGTAGAGTTTAACATCTCTCTCTCTCTGTCTCTCTGTCTCTGTCTCTCTTTCTCTCTCTCTCTCTCTCTCTCTCTCTCTCTCTCTCTCTCTCTCTCACACACACACACAAACACACACACACACACAGCCTAGCTCATTCTTTCTGACCAGAAAATTTCATCTTCTTTGTTTCTAATTAAAATATGACATTATGACATACACCATGCTCCTATCACCTATTTAGGTGAAAAGAAAGGTGCTTTATTTGATAACTTTGAGGAGGTTTTGTATTCAGCCTATGCATGACAATTTGGGGCTGCCGTTTTAAATAGCATATCACTCGAGGTAGGTGTAGTAGGAAAACGGTTCGCTTAGGGGTGTTCGATCTGTAATTAAACTCCAATAAAGAGACCTCTTCTAGAAGACAATATACCCTTTTTGGGGAAAAAAAAAATCCCAAATTGTGGCAATTGAAGGAAAGTTCCTTGGATTCCATTGATTTAATCTCATAGGAAGGCTACTGGAATCCAGTGCCAAAAGCTACTTCTGGCTTGGTGCATTAAGGACTGTGTTGGTGTGCTTATAGGGAAAGCTTCCAGAAGCAAATTCTTTCTGGCAGACATCAGAATCACAGCTCCCCCTTGCCCCCTAGAAATATAGATACTGGAGACTGTAGAGTTTTATCTCTTATACCAAAGACTTTTTTTTCTTCCATTCTTTCACATTTTTCAATGTGATCATGAGAAAAAGAGAAAGAATAATTGTGCTTTATTTTATGCTGCTGGCAACCCCTCTCCCATGACTAAATATCACATATGCAGAACTCAAGTCCACGTGAACCTGATGAAAGATCATTGTAAAGAGAAATCTGCAATCTGGTAATTGGAGAGCAAATGTTGGCCATAGAAAACTGTATTCTTACTTGGTGTGTCTGTACATCTTTGCATTGTGTGTCTTTGTAGCAAATCTGTTTTCTACACAAACAGGAATGCAGCTCACCCATTTTATGTTCTTGCACCTCTTGCTTTGGGGAAAGTGGGGGAGGGGAGAGGCAATAATAAGGGATATCAGTAGTTTTAACTAAGGTTGTGTGACACTTGAAATCTTTTCTTTCACAAATTAATTAATCTTTAAGCTTAAGAAACTTACTCTGACAGCTCTAAGCAAACTATTGAGCATTTAAAAGAATCTAATTTTTAAAGGTGTAGCACTTTTGTTATGTGTTCTTCCCACAGAGGGTGCAAATATCGCTATCCTGTGTTCTCTGAAAAGAATTTAAGGCCACAATTCACGTCTCTTCCTGGGCACTGTGATGGATTAACCCCCTATTTGCAGTTCCTTCCCAGATGATTAAAGTTCAGCCATGGTATAGAGGTTTTTCGAATATTTATATAGAGAAAAAGTCCTTTTCTGATGACAAATGACACTCTCACACCAGTCTTAGCCCTGGTAGTTTTTTAGGTTGTGCCAGAAGGAGCAGGTTAAAGAATACCCATCCTTTGGCCTTCACTTAGAGAAAAAGCAGCCCCTGCTCCTCAGACTTCAGCCATGATGGTTGAGAATGCCTGTCCCAAGCACAGCCGCACTCCCAAGACTGCAGGTTGCCATCACAAAGGTTATTCCAGTAAAAGGAAACCTTTTTTAAAATCCATTTTTTTTTATATTCTCCCAAGCTCCTCAAAGTATCAAACTGCCTTACCTTTTCTCCCTGCCTGCAGGAAGGCAGACATTTGGTATGACCTGGCATCAACAACACATTTTTGAGTATATGTAAGTAATTGGGGGGGGGCAAATGCCATTTGTGATTCCTCTCCAGTTTCATAAGCAACTGCACACAGATCACTGGAGGGCTCAGGGGCTGCCTGTGTTGTTGGGTTACGTTAATAGACTTGTCATCAAGTTTGTTACCTATTCTAACTGGCAGAGTCACATGGAGGGGGACCTCGGTGGGTCACACATTCTGGTAGGATAAAAGGCAATGGATATTTCTCTCACAGAGAGCATTATTAAAAGACCAGAATTTGTATATTTTTTTGGAGAATGGGTGTTACAATGTTTCAGGGTAGTCAAAATATGCACCAATAATCTTCTCTAGATAGGTGGTTATGTTGGTTGACTTGGGTTTTGTCATTGATGACAAATAACAAGGAGTTAGCTGGAATATGACTATTAAAAAGGCACCTGGAATATATTTTCAGAGAGGTTTAGGGACACACACACACATACATAACGCAGATAAAACCATACACACATAGGCATATATTTCCATATTCATATAACCTATATAGCCACATACACAATTACATAACCAGTTTCCAGCATTAATTACCCTCCTGATTTCTTCTTCCATCATCAGACTGTTACTCAATAAAGGACCTGTTAAAATCAATCACAATTAAAGTATAAAGGTGGCTGATGGTATTTTCAGGCATTAGTTCATGAGTTGGTAGATACTTTTCAGGCTGGGGGTACTCTTTTGAGCTCCTTGTGCTGTAGGAGAGTGTAAGCCTGCTACCTACTGGTAAGAGCCAGCATGTGGCAATGCATTCTTTTGAGAGTACCCTCCTAACTAATGAGTTCCATCTCAAGGTTAGGAAACATACTTCTCTATAAAAAATATTCTACTCTGATTTTTTCCCAGGAATCTAAGTGGTAAAATTCCTAACTGGTGACCTGGCACCATCTTCTGGCCTTCCTCAGTAGACCCAGTTTCTCAAAGTCTGGTTTTTTTGCTCATAAAACTAGAGCCTGGCTACTACATCCTTAAGGTTTAGTCAGAGATGTAAATGAGATGGAGGGAATACAATTTATTGAGTATGGGAGCACTTACCTAGATTTTGATATGTGAGAGATACTAAGAACCTTATTTTTACATGAGGAACCTGAGGTGTAGAGGCGTTCAGTGCTTTGTGTAGTCACCCAGCTAGTAATGGGGAGCACTGGCATTCAGGTCTGGTGGCCTTTTCATTATACCCTATCTCTTATTTCCTTGAAGGGTTGCTCCCTCCATCCCACCACCCAGCAGAGCCTAGGACTAGCCTGGGCACAGGGCACATGCTTACATGTTCTTGTTGGATGACATAGGCATAATGTTTGAGTCTAAGAATTTTCATGATAACTTTGCTTGTTCTGGCTTCTGTTAAGTGGGTAACACAGGACTCTGTTAACAGAGGATACTGCTCACAGGCTTCCAGAAACAGAACTGTCCAGTTAATCATGCAGTCCAACCTCTATCCGGAGGATTTTAGATGCAGAGAGAATAAGGTATAGACATCTATCCACATATTTTTGTTGAGGATTTGTTCACATTTCCTTTTTGGTCATTAGAGGAACTATGTCTCTATGATTGTCA